AGCCTGTTGATTGACACCTGTCATTCTGAGGATGGTATAATAACCCCCCCCCCCCCCCCCCCCCCGCCCCCACCGCCCCCGGGGAAATCACAGTCATGCAGATGTGCCTTTTCAATGCCAGTAGCTCACGGTGGAGAGCAGGGAATGGAAAGTCCTCTGGCTTATCATACCATCCTCAGAATGACAGGTGTCAATCAACAGGCTCCACAAGGGATATACCCATCCTCGAATGTATGCTCTAGGATATTCCCATCCACAAACACAAGGAATAAAGACCTCTGCTGTCTCTTCAACGCCTGAAGCTCTGTCTTCTGAAGATGCTGCAGCTGCAAGGGACTGTCTGGAGGCAAAGACGTGAACCTTAAACAAGCTGGCAGAACAACTTTGCCGTTGAAAAGCTTCAAGAATCAGATAAAGTAAAAGGGAAATGTCCTGTCAAAGTTGCCCGGCACTCATCTCAACCTACCACAGCTGGCTGTCATAGGAGCTCTATGGTTTTTTTAAGACATCTCGTGCTGATGCTGCATGGTGGATGACACGTTAGGATTTGGATTATTGAGATGGGTAGAACCAGGGACGAGCTTGTCACTTCGGTGCTATATTTGGTCGGACAGCAGGAGACTCACAGAGAGACATTCTAGTGTGATCTGGCTTGACAGTTTGTTCTCCCACTAGGTCCTCTCTTCCAGACAACTCAGCTTGACACACACAGATGAGCGTGCACAAGCAAACTGACACCCGGCCCGGCTTCGCGGCGCAGCGGCAGGCGCATGTGCAGAGGATGATGCAGAGTGACATCTCATGGGAAATCAGTGAACACAAACAGCGGAGTGTGTACAGTGACGCCTCTTAAGTGATTTTGGGCAGAAACGGGACACAAAGGATGAAATAGGCCTAGAATTTAGAAAGCATCATAAAAATAGAACGGCATATTGCATCACACAATTTGGAATAAATAGCGAGTTAAAATAACCTGTTTTTGGAATGTCACAACCCACTGAGCAAGACAATAGATATTTGATCCCTCTAAAAACAAATGATACACCTGTCATAACGTTCTCATGACGAAAAGTCTCTTCTGACGTTTATCCGTCTGGAGGACCAATTCATCATTAATATCATTTTAACCAATAATAATAGGACGACTGCAGACTGCACTTTTTACCACTGGAGGGCAGACAACAGGGAAACCAAAACCAACACAACTATCAAACACTGCTGTACTCTTCTGCTCAAACTTAAAGATGCCCTCCAAACATCATTTGAAACATATGAATACTTTGCTTTGAATAATAATTGATGTCTGAAATGATTTCAAGTTATTCACCGTCTTGGATGAATTGCCAGCAAAAGTAGCACCGGAGGGTGGCAGACTTTCCCTGCTAAAGGTCCGGTGATCTGAAGCATGGATGAGACAGTGGGATCAGTGGCAAAGTTGTTTTAAAGAATGGACAGGAAGTTATACAACGGACAACCTGCCACGATAATCCATCATGCTCCAGGGACAGAGAGGCAGAGTGCACTTTGTGTCCGGATATCTGTACGTATGTGTGTACGAGAGAGAGAAACGGAGAGGCTCTTATACAACATCCCAGTATAGCCATCATCCACACTAACCCTCCTCTCCCATTTGCTGCAATCAGGGGAGCTTAGCAAAACAGGATTACAACCAATTACAGGTCTCCCCTGAAGAGCACGTGCGGTTATCACCAAAACTATCTTCAGGCAGGTTAAAAAAAAATAAAAACTCACCAGAATTTTCTTGGCCTTCCAATTCGGAAAGGTGAGCACGGCATTTTGCTGGGTTGTGCTGTTACAGTTTTGCAGTCGAAGGATTTAACTAACCGCTCTAATTTCTAGTCGCTTCCTGTCCAACATACAGAACCTGGAGGAAGATCTTGACTCTGGCTCTCAGTTATTTTTGTATCTGTAGTTGCATTGGTATTTTCGTCCTTAGGCTTATCAGAGTGAAAAATCCTTTCTAAAAGCGCAACAGGTTTTTTTTGTTAGAAATTGGTGTGTCCTGCTGGGTATGAACACTTATGAGTTTGTAAAACAATTCAAGTTCTATTATCACAATGGGAAGGATCCTCCAAATTCACTCAGCACTTTTGTGCTTTGAAGAAGAGCATGACTCAGACAAAGGAACAAGGCGAAGAGGACCAAGTGTAACTCTGCTGAACTCTAAATGTTTTTTGTGACACCATCACACCGTTCTCTTCTTTCTCTTCCTGTCATGTCATCTCATCCACTCACTTCCTTTGTCCTTCTTCCTCCTCTTCACGCCTATAATCCTTGTTCACAATTCCTGTGGTGTTTTGTATCCTCTTTTAGATTATCCAGTGCTTTCTCCTCTTCTTTTCTACCGTGCGGTGTAGCTGTTCTGCTACAGTCTGACGCAGTGGAAGCCCGATGGCCAGACTGCAGTTCCTGCACACAAGTCCAGCCACTGCTGAGTAATGCAGGCCTGGCTGGAAAGAGAGATCCTCCTGTTTCTGTATTCCAGAGGGAAGGAGTGATGATACTGCGGCGAGGCACCGTTTAACCTGCTGCAGTCAGACAGAGAGGGGGTTGAGGGCCACTCGTGCCGCCACACCTAAAGCATTCAGGAATGAAGTGGTCTATCTGCAGTGGCAAGCGGCGTGCACGCTCAGCTCCCTGCCAGCCTCCACGTGCCACTCGCGGCAGCATTCCAGCACTGCCAGCACTGCAGAGATAGCAGTACAGACTGAGTATCTGTTTCCCCGTCTGCTCTACCTTTTTACTGGCTCATTCATCTTACTGTCACTCTACTCGGTCGACTGATTCACACATTTAAAACATACAAGGCCGGTCTGCGTCAGTGATAATAAACACAATTTCAGAGAACTTTAAGAATTGCAATCCATTGTGATTGTTTGTCAAAATTTTAAAGTTGCATGACTAAGATAGATGACAAATTGTCATTGTCTCAAAATGCTGTCACAACACATTTATTAAAAAAAGAAGAAAAACTCACCATGAGATTCTGGCCTTGGAGAATGTCTTGTCAACTCTAAAATAAAAACAAGAAACATACATCTGTTATAAACAATACTAAGTTAAATTGAATTCCATGACATTCTGGTTCTCTTTGTTTAGGGTTAATCTGTGTCACAAACAACAAAAAATGACCTGCTATGAACCTATGAAAACAACAAGGAGAGGAAGTCAGCTATACTTATATTTTTAAAAAAAGTTCTACTTTCTCTAAGTAAGAAAGACGTGACAAATTAGAATACATTAGCACCAGATGGCATATAACTGAGTCCGACACTCACTGATAGTTTCCATGCTCTTGCCAGCATGCATCTATCTAAGTTTACCCGGACTAATTTAAGTGTGAAAAGTACAGAGGGATAGTGTACCATCCGTTCCACTTATAAGAAGTCCACTGAACTGAGAGAGGTTGGTTATGCAGTGGGCTGGGTTATACTGAAATAACTCCTGCCATCTGTTGAAGTAACATCTCCGAGGATGAAAGGATGATTACGAGCTCGGTGTTTCTTGAGACAAAATGGGTCTTGTCCTGTTTTGAAATCGCACTATGAGGCTCATTACTCAGTGTCAGTCAAGAATAAACTATCATCTGTCCTTACGTCGCTCTATCAACAGATTTGTGCAGTAATCCCCTCAAACAATAACCAGATGATGCAACGTTAGAAACTGCTCAGGTTAGGATGCAGAGCACCGTTTCTGCCAATAGATGGCACCGTGTGTGCATGAGAAACCTCATGTCTGACAGGTGTAATTCATAAACAATTCCCTCTGCTCATCAACCAGAGAGACATGTATCACGATATTTAAGTCCATAAGTCAGGACTTTAAACAATCTGACACACAAAAAGGAATAAACACCTTTTCTCTGGTTCTAATCACAAAACATCACTATCATAAACACACACTAACTTCTCTTGGGATGCAGTACTTGACTTTACCGGCAACAACAAAGTGGACATTTTGTACTGATAACTGTTGAACTATGACCAAGCTAATGACTCATGGCTGCGGGTCTCTTGTGATAGCTGGTGGTGGTGGTAACACAGGGAAAAGGGAATGTTTAGTATGTCTGTCAGGGCTCCTGCAGCTGCCTGCGTTGCAGTAAATTCACCCTTCAGAAATTCAAAGGATGATACACCACCAAAGAACACAAAGGCAATACATGCCAGAAATAATCCCGGAGCTGTTAGGTTGATTTCACGTCGTTTTCTTCCCTTGCTGCTGACCCGATCTCCTATGACAGTATATATTTGGCTTCATCCTTCATGCCAAAGCTACTGACTGCTGTCCACCCCTGTGTTTCCTAAAGCCACGCTTGCTGTATCAGAAATAAGACTGAGAGTGGCATGTTAGTAGCTTTGGGAGGCTGTGCTCTGAGCTAAGTGATAGCGAAAGAAAGCTAACATACTCCCAATGACAATGTTAAGATGCTGATGTTTAACTGGTATAACGTTTATCATGTTCACCATTCATTCAACAGTAGAAAGGTGCACTCAGTTTAGTGCGGAACGACTTCTGCTGCAATGTTAGATTGTATGAATACAACCCACAATTGTAGGTGTGTGGGGAAACTTTAAACTTAATGTTTTCTGGTCCATTCGAGAGGAAAGCTGAGGATGAAAAACACCCCTATCTACTCCTCTGGGTCAAAGGCCGGGATGTCTATAACACATGGACAAATACGGCGGATGAAAGTAAGACACTGGAATTGTACTGTGATTGCTTTGAAGCGTACGTCATGCCGAAGACAAAAGTTATATTTGCTCATTGCAAATTCAACAAAAAAATACAGTGAGCCCTTTGAACGGTGTATGACAGATTTAAGACAGCTTGTGATAGACTGTAATCATGCTAACAGTGAAGAGATGATGAGAGACCGAGTGGTTTTCAGGATTCATTCACGTAGAACAATAGACATTGAAAGGTCTCATGTAATAGCACAAGCACAGCCTAAAGCTATAGCTGGCGGCATCAGTCGCCCGCATTTTCCGGCAAAGACAGGAGAAAAAGAAAACCTGATGACGTCTTCAGGACAGGGGGAGACAGAGAGTGCCATGAAATATGTTACTACTGAGGGAATAAGGCTCATGGAGTAAAAGACAGCTGCCCAGTCAAAGGAAAGCAGTGCAAGATATGCAACAATTGGAACCATTTTGCAAAGGTCTGTTGTTCAAGACAAGGAAAAGGAGTATGTGCACAGTGAATGAAAATGAGCCAGACAAAAATGCAGACAATGAGGATTTGATTATTGATGCAGTGACACATGCCTGAATGATACAGAGCATGCCTTTGCAGATGTGCAAATTGGTCCAAGTTAGACACTGCTAATGTCATTCCCACACGTGTTTTCAGAAGGTTTGGCAACAGTACAAACTACAGCCCTCATCTCGCCCAATCTATGACTATGCTGGTGAGCAACTGGTTGTCAGAGGCAAGTGCAACATTAGATGCCAGTATAAGAACATTCAATTAATGTGAAGCTCCAGGTCATTGATACACATTCACCCCCAATGCAAGGATGGAAAGCGTGCCTTGACTTTTGCCTCATTAAACTCATATTGTCCGTAGCCGGTGCATCTGAGGAAGCAATCATGGATGAGCTTGCAGATGGCTTCACAGGAACAAGACGGTTTCTTGGAAGTGGTTGGTGAGTGCACAATTCACATAAACCCCAATGCAATACCTATGGTCCACCTGCCGAGGCATGTTCCCGTCACCCTGCAAAGCCGCCTAAAAGAGGAGCGACAGGACATTAATAAACAAGAGACCATTGTGGAAATCCCAGAACCAATAGGTCAATTCGATGGTAGCAGCAGAAGGGCCACGCACAGGCAAGCTGAGAGTGTGCCTTGACCCCAAATACTTGGACAAGGTAAACAAGTGGCCACAATAACCTTTACCCTAAACTATATCACATGCAAGTTAGCAGGAGCCTCGATGCAATATCAGGTTTCTGAGCTATAAAGCTCACGGAGGAGTCATCCAAGTTGACCACATTCAACACAGTGGTCGGATGGTACTGATTCATTCCCCTACCTTTTGGACAAATACCTGCTCAAAACAAGTCAGAGAGACTTAAAGGTCTACAGGGCCTCACAGAGATAGTCGATGATGTCGTCATCTACGGCAGAAAAAAGGATGGCCTTGCCAAAAAACCTCCGTGCCATGCTGCAGCGCTCCAGAGAGCAAGGATTTAGGCTTAACCCAGAGAAGAGCACAATGAGATCATCTGTGCCAACGAGATCAACTATTTTGGGCACCGTATCACTAAAGACAGAATCAAGCCTGATCCAGCCAAGATTTCAGCCGTGAGAGACACGGAGCCACCCAAAGACCAAAGTGAGCTAGAAACAATCCATGGCATGGTTAACTATATGTCGAAGTTTTCTCTCAACGCACCTATGCATCACCTGTTAAAAGAGTCTAGTGAGTTCATATGAGATGCACAACATGACGAAGCATTCAAAAAAATGAAAGGGATAATCCCACGAGAGGTCCAGTCCTAACATATTTTGACCCCAGTAAAGGGCCTTTCTGTTGCAGATACTCTCTCCAGGAAGTCACTGTCTGTCTAGGACGACAGCCTCAGAGCAGGCATGGACATGCAGGTACACACAGTATACAGCATCTTACCTGTCAGTGACACTAAGCTGAAAGAGACACACAGCAGCTCATGTTACTGAGAAAGATGATCAAGGAAGGATGTCTTGAGAAGAAAAGAATGTGCCCTTAGACCATAGCAAAATACTGGATCTATCAAGATGAATTTTCACAGATGAATGACATCATTTCCAAGGGTGAGAAAATCCTCATCCATACCTCAGTGTTGGCAGAGATGTTGCCCTGAATACATGCAGGTCACATTGGCAAGGAATGAGCATAATACAGAGAGCCCGTGAAATCCTATTTTGGCGCAGAAACAACACGCAGATCGAGAAGATGGTTGTAAAGGGCCCCACCTTTTTCAAACACATGCCTTTGACCGATAAGGAGCCCATGATAAGCAAGACAGGCCACGGCTAGCAGATACTGACAGATTGTACCACAAAGGCACAGCTGAGGGGCGAGAGTACATCATATGTAAAAGCTATGATCACAACAGACAGCGTGCACCACACTACACGCCGCACAGACAACACAGCCCAGAATAGTTTTGAACTTGTGAGAGCAAGTTTGCTTGGAGTTATAGCACAAAACAAGACAACAATGGTGTTGCAATATACAGCTATTGACGATTGTGATATTTAGAAAATGAAATATTGATATCATGTTAATAACACACATGATGATATTGTGTAAATATCTGTCCCCTGCTCCTCAAAAAAGATATTGTGACATATTGTGATATTGGTTCTATACCAAAAGTTTAAGAAAAAAATGTTTGCACTTCTTCTTTTGTTGTGAGAAATTCTCAAAAAGATAAATGAAAGCTGAAGGCTTCCTCCTTCTCAGAAAACTGTGTAAGTGAGAGGAAACTGGCCCTGTGGGGTTTGGTTGTTCACTGTACTGTGGAGTCACGAATCAAGTGGTGTTGTTACAGTAGGACGTCGCCCGATTCCCCTCAATGCAGAAGATCGCTCGTCATTTTCAACCCCAGGTCTCCACGTGACACATACTGACATTGAAATGGATTTTGTGGTGCTGTTCTAGCTCAAATCTACCACCAGTGTTGATTTCACTGAGCCTGACAGACACACGTGTGTGCAGATAAATCAGACCTCCGTCTTAAGTGAAATGCATACTGGTCCTTGGTAGAAAAG